CAGAACATCTGCAGTTGGCATCTCAGGTCAAAGGCAAGAGCCCTAGACTGGAGTCAGAGTTCCTGGTCCTCCACCAGCGGATCCCCATCCTGTCGTGTTTTCTTCATCTGTTCAAAGTGGGAGCTAGATTAAATGAATGTTTTTCAAACTGTGTGTGTGTGTGTGTGTGTGTGTGTGTGTGTGTGTGTGTGTCTTTTCTCAAAGAACACCTTTGGAATTTCATTTGCTTAGAAGTCTGGAGCTTAGAAGTCCTGGAACACAATTTAACAACATTCCACACCTGCCAAATTGGTGTTTGGAGAATCAGATCAGAATAATCTGACATTGCTGGCTTCTTCTCCTTTTGCTACAGGGGCCATGAGTGAGAACTGAGTGGAAGCATGAGATATCAGATTGAGCAAGTCCTGGGTCTCAGGATTGCAGGCTCCTCTAGAAGGATCTTGGCAAAACTCCTCGCTCCCCACCCCTCCAAGAAGTCATCTGGGAAATTCCTGGAAATAAGAGGATGGGGCAGGCAGGAGGGATCCTATGCATGGGGAGAGCTCCTGAGTAGATTAGGAGTGTGAAGAGTCTGGGACCCACAGAGAGGCCTCATTGCCCAGTGCAGTTCCAGGTGCAGCTTAGGCCAGGACATGAGAAAGCCTAGTGGCCCAACAGAAAGAACACTTCACCTGGTGAGGACCTAGCCTTCAATCCTGAATCCTGGGCTGTGGGTCAGACTGTGGCTGCAGCTGCAAAGAGATAAAGCTGACCTAAAGCTTTGTAGGACAAAGGGCACCCAGGAGAGCTGGAACCAGGCCCCAGGGTCCTCCTCTTCATAGGAAATCTTAAGAGCTCAGCTGACTAAGAGATTGAGGCTCACCCCTGTACACCCATCTACCACACCCATCTACCCTGCTGGAGTGGCCCAAGGCTACCTTTCTTGAGCTCTGCTGTATAAGTGCCAGAGCTACAGAGTCGGTGACCTCTGAGCAAATGAACAGCAGCCCCTCCCCTCAGGAATTAGGCCAGAGAGGAAGTGTCCTGGGTAGATGGGAGGGCCTGGGTCTGGGTCAGCCTCTGAGGACTGAATTCTGGCTGTCAACTCTCCACACATCAGTCCACCCACCCCCACCTCCATAGTCCAAAGGTCCATGTGGTGAGCAGGTTGAGCTGTGCTAGGCACTACAAAAGGGAGCCTGTGTCGGGACCTCTGGTGGGTGGGCAGCATGGGCTTTGAGGAACTGCTGGATGAGGTGGGTGGCTTTGGATCCTTCCAACTGCGGAATGTGGCACTAATGGCCCTGCCCCGAGTGATACTACCCCTGAATTTTCTCCTGCCTATCTTCCTGGCTGCTGTGCCTGCCCACCACTGTGCCCTGCCTGGCACCCCTGACAACTTCAGTCACCAAGAGGCATGGCTGGAGACCCACCTGCCCCGGGAGCCCGATGGCAGGTTTAGCTCCTGCCTCCGCTTTGCTCACCCCCAGACTCTCCCCAACACCACACTGGGGAGAGAGGCACCGAGTCCTGGGGAGCTGGAAGGAGAACCCTCAACTGTGCCCTGCTCTCAGGGCTGGGAATACGACCACTCAGAATTCTCCTCCACCATTGCAACTGAGGTATCCAAACCCAGAGGGCAAGGGACATGAGTGTGATGAACTGCCATTTCCTTGGGTAGTAGCTGTGTGGGCATAAATTACATTCCTTTATCTCTTAGAATCTCAGTTTACCCATCTGTAGATAGGTTCCATGGACTGCAGTAAGGGGCCCATCCTCAGGAGCTGCCGTTATCTTTCATGTTAATTAACACAAAAAGTTGGGGCAGAGACCTGAGAAGGGATGCATTGAGGTGAAGAAACTGCAGAGGCCTTGCTTCTGCTTCCCTCCCTCCCTATTTTCTGGCTAGGTCTGAGGTTTACATAATCCATCTGGAGGAGGAGGGTGAATGGAAGCAGAATTTCCCTAGGGGAACTGGGGACTCAGTGTTATAGTCAGGGCCCTCCGTGAGAAGACCCTGAGGCTACAGGAGGAGTGAATTGTTGGAGGGGGGGTATTTTCTGGCATAGAGGTATCTATCAGAAGTCCCCAGAGTCTGGAGAAGGTCTTAGACCCATGTGAGACCCTTGTCTGCCTGTTTTGCAGTGGGATCTGGTATGTGAACGGAAAGGCCTCAACAGAGTTGCATCCACCTTGTTCTTCATTGGTGTGCTGATGGGGGCTGTGGTCTTTGGATACCTGTCTGACAGGTGGAGTGCGGTGTGGGGTGAATGAAGGAAAAGGCTGGGGGGAACCCTCTTCTACTAGCTGGGGGGGATGGGCCTAGTCTACCTATGTCTTGGAATCTTCACAGGTGGCTGACCCTGTACAACCCCTTTGCAGGTTTGGACGGCGCCRTCTACTGCTGGTGGCCTATGTGAGTACCCTAGTGCTGGGCCTGACATCTGCAGCCTCAGTCAACTATGTCATGTTTGCCATCACCCGCACCCTCACTGGCTCAACCCTGGCTGGTTTCACCATTATTGTGTTGCCACTTGGTAAAGCAGTCAAGGGAAAGGCAGGGCCTAGAGGGCTGGAGGGAAGTTGTCAGTGAGTCAGACCAGGCGGCCCCTTGCTTATTGTCTTCCTGTCTCCGATCTGGCCTTGGGCCTAGAGCTGGAGTGGCTGGATGTGGAACACCGTGAAGTGGCCGGCATCCTGAGCTCCACCTTCTGGACAGGAGGCGTGCTGCTGCTGGCTTTGGCTGGGTACCTGATAAGGGACTGGCGATGGCTCCTGATGACTGTTACTTTGCCTTGTGTCATAGGCATCCTCAGCATCCGGTGAGGAATAGAGGCAGTTGGGGAGTGGAAGATAGAGGAAGCCAAAGTCAGAAATTAATCAGACACTAAGATTTGAAGACAGAGAGACAGAAGGATGAAGGGAAAAGAAAACCAGTAAGTGACCAAGAGACAATAAGAGACACTGAAAGAAAGACAGAAAAAGAGACCAAGAGAAAGAAGATGGCACAGGACAGTGAAAAACAGAACAGGGCAGAGAGAAACATAGATTTAGAGACAAGAGAACCAACCAGTGATTGACAGAACCCAGAACTGAAAGATAGATTCAAAGCAACAGAGGGTAGACACAGTGAGAGAAAACAAGAGCAAGGAGAGACAGTGACAAAGACAGAGTCAAGCAGAAGTTGAGGCTGACCCTTAAAGGAGTAGGAATGGGGCTGGGCATCATGGGAGAGCTCAGACTAGAGGGGAGGGTGGGTATTTCATTCATGTCAGTATGTTTTTTTCTCCTTTATCCTATGCTTTCCTGCCACCTGTGGGACAAGTGGGTGGCTAGTGCTGAGAGCTAAGGTCTTGAARGTGAGACCATTTCAGTTGAGTAAGGAAGAGAGCCAGGCTGGGGGAGCTCCAGGCCTGGGTAAATAGCATGAGGTGACTTTTATACTGGGCCTCATCAATTGTGGAGGGCTTGAAAAGCAGATGACATTCCAGACAGAGGGGACTGTGTGAACATCCTAGAGGTTGACAGCTCTAAAATTCCCAAAAGGGAGATGTGGCTCACAGTACCAACTTTCTGGCTAAAGAGCCTCCTGCCTGTCCCCTAGGTGGGTGCCTGAATCTGCACGCTGGCTTCTGACTCAGGGCCGAGTGGAGGAGGCCCAAAGGTATTTGCTCCACTGTGCCAGGCTCAATGGGCGGCCTGTGGGTGAGGACAGCCTGAGCCAGGAGGTGAGAGTGAAGTTAGTGAGAGCATGCACACTTATGAGAGGGGCTGTGTGAAGTGTCCCTCCCTGGGGGCCCACCATATGTGATAGGAAAAGCCCTTTCCAAACTCTTTAGGCTGTCCTACCTGACTCAGATGGGTCACATCTTTCACTTAGGGTCCCCCCTTCTCAGCTCTCATGTGCACCTCCACTCCCACCACTGAGAGGGGAGAAACAAAGACAGAGAGAGAGAGAGAGAGAGAGAGAGAGAGAGAGAGCGCGAGAGAGAGAGCACAAGAGCACAAAGTAGCACATACCCACCATGCCCAGTTGAGACCAACTCTGATATCACAACCTCACGTCTTCCCTCATCAGGCCCTGAACAAAGTGTCCACGGGGGAACAGGTGTTCCCAAGACCCTCCTACCTAGACCTATTCCGAACACCACAGATCCGGCACATCTCATTGTGCTGCATGGTGATGTGGTAAGGGGGCTAACTTAGGGTTGGTGGAGGCGGGGCTAGTGGAGGGAGGGGTAGACTCCAGGCCTGTGCTGAGTATGAGTGACAGATGAGTGTATGAGTGTAACTGTGGAGGGCCCAGGGGCAGTCAGGCTGGGGTAGGTCAAGAGATGAAGTTGGCAGCGGTCACGTGGATCTGAATTCAGGTTCTAGCTCCTGTGTGACCTTGGACAGCTCCCTTTTGTAAAACCGGCTGCGGTTAGTTGCCATGCCACAGGGTTGCTGTGAAGATTAGGGTGAAGGCTTTTCGGCCACTGGCACATGCTGCACCCTCCGGTGTTGGGGTATTATGGGTGGTGGGGAAGGTCCCAGGCACCGGCGATTCAACCTTCTAAAAGATCAAGTCTTCCTGAGATGAGGACAAAGGTGGAACAAGGGCCCTTGGTAGCACTGTAACTCCTTTCAGGTTTTCAGTAAACTTCTCCTATTACGGCTTGAGCCTGGACTTGTCGGGGCTGAGGCTGAACGTGTACCAGACGCAGCTGCTGTTCGGGGCAGTGGAGCTGCCCTCCAAGCTGGTGGTCTATCTGCTGGTGCGCCGTGCGGGGCGCCGGCTCACGCAGGCCGGAGCACTGCTGGGCACCGCCTTGACCTTCGGCATCAGATTGCTGGTGTCCTCGGGTAAGCCTATCCGGCAGACGCCGCCTGCCTAAGACCCCGCCTCCTGGACACGAAGCCCCGCCCTCCCCCGGAGCTCCGACTCTTCCCCAGTCAGGCTCTGCCCCGTGGGCTTCCCATTCCCGGGGAGTTTTGGGTATTCCAACCTCTCACTGCCCGAAACCCCGCTTTCCTTCAGAGACGAGTTCCTGGAGCACGGCCCTGGCAGTGATAGGGAAAGGTTTCAGTGAAGCCGCCTTCACAACTGCCTACCTGTTCACTTCAGAATTGTACCCTACAGTGCTCAGGTGAGGGGAGCTCGGAAACAGGGTTCCCAGGCAGCCGATCTGGGGCGGGACTTGTTAGTCACGCTCCTTAACTTGCACTCTTCTGCACACTGTCCATCCGCCTCTGGATTCTTTACACCACACCTAGAATGTAGGGCTGGTCAGGGCTTTGTTTACCCAAATCTAGGAAGAGGTGGGGGATTTTCTAACTGTGACTGTGAGCCAAGTCAAYTTCTTGGTGCCTCAGAAGAAATCTATCACAAAGAAGTCCCATCTACCCATCCCATCTCATTCATGGCTGGTGAGGCAGAACTGTCCTTGGGGATTCTCTTTACAGAATTATAGGGCCCCTTTCAGCTAGCTATTGGCAGATGGGAAAATGAGCCTTACAAGTATCCGGCTTAGACTTGAGTCGGCTCTAACATCACCACAGCGACTGTGCAAGGTGCTGACCTGACCTTCCTCTTTCTTCCACACTAGTCTATCCCATTCTGATAACTTTTCTTTTAGTGGTACCTGTTTGGTACCGTGTATAAATGGGGGCCCCATCCTCTGGTGGGTGCTGGTCTGGGCTCCTGGCCCCCGCGTGTGTGGGAGCTCCTAGCTTTCTTAGCTGTCTAGAAAGGTAKCAGGGCTTGCTAACTCAGGAGGGGAGCCTTGTGAGGCACAGCTTCCCAGCAGGTGTGAAAACAACCTGCCTCCCTCATCCTCTCTCTGATCAGACCAACAGGTATAGGGCTGACTTCACTGGTGGGCCGACTGGGGGGCTCTTTGGCCCCACTGGCAGCCTTGCTGGATGGAGTATGGCTGTCATTGCCCAAGCTTGCTTATGGGGGCATTGCCCTGCTGGCTACCTGCACTACCTTCCTGCTGCCAGAGACGAGGCAAGCACAGCTGCCAGAGACCATCCAGGATGTGGAGAGAAAGAGGTGTGTATATGCAAATGGATGCAGGTGCTCAGGATTCAGAGGGGAATACATTTGCACAGAGGGGAATACATTTGGTGCATGTATAAGTGTGTGCACATGTGTTTTAGGGTGCATGCCCTATGCACTTTATGTGCATAAAAGTGTTGAGTCTATACATGTGTGCACACTACAAGCATGTGTGAGAGTCTCTTGTGGGAGTACATGTGTTTGTATTCCAGGAGATGGAGAGAGCCCTGGGCCAGTCTGATGGGACAGGCTGGAGTGATAGGCTCCAGAACTAAGCCCTATCACTATTCCTGACTCCTTCCTCCCCAGTGCCCAACCCGGTCTTCAGGAGGAAGAGATGCAGGTCCAGAACTGAGTGGAATTGGGGCAAGCCCTCCAGAGAAGGTCTACAGTCAGGGGCTGAGAAAACAGAAGGGCAGGCTCTTGTGACCAGAGCTGGGGGCATCAAACACTAGGGATGAAGTTGCCATTGATCCCCTCTGCCTGTGCTCATCCAGTCTTGACTATTCAGCCTCTAGCAACAGGACAACTTTCCAGAATGCAATGGATTGCTGAAGATTCTAGGCACCCATCTAATGGCTGGGGGAATTCTGTAAATAAAGGTACCTCTTGAGTTGGGGCAGCAGTGAGGAGCTTTGGGAAGACCCCTGATGGAAAGCCACTAAGTTGGTCCTGGGCTGTGATCAGGTTTACCACTGATTTTCTGTATGACCAGGGGCATGTAGCTTTCCTTCTCGGGGCCTCAGTCTTATCATTTCCCAAATGGATAATGAAACCTCTTAACAGACTTTACAAGATCTGCTGTCATGTTCAAATTGAAATGAGGTGCTTTTTCTAGAGATGGTACTAAAGAAGAGACGGCCCTGTGATACCTTTTGATGCAGTGGGGCTGGTGGGCATGTTACCCAATCCCAGGCACTCTCCACTAAACCTATTGTCTAGGCTTCATGCCCAAAGAAGTGTTGAAGGCATAGGAGCCAACATTTTATTGGAGAAGCCATAGAGGCATAGACTCAATAAACAAAAGTTTGAAGACGACCTTGAAGTTCCAGAATTTATTGGGGAAAGGGATAGGAAGGCCAGGAGACCACCATTCAAAGTGGGGTGGCCTGTGTTCCCTAACCAGATAAGAAAGGAAAAGAGAAAAATTTGCAGAGAAGGTATAGATTATCTGGCCTACCATGGAGCCTAGGCCCAGGCCCTCAGGATCTTGCCTTCCCCCAACCACATAGGACTGGAGAAATCTGTAGCTCCCATTGGACCATGGAGGGGATGGTGGGAAGCCTGAGTTAGGGTGACCTCTCCTGTGAGTGCYTCATTTGGATTTTATCTCCACTGGGTCATAGATGTAGCAGCCCACATCGCCAATGTTCACACCTGAGGGAGAGAGCCCTATCACCAACGGCCTTGGGAATGGGGGGTGTTGGGTTCAGGGCTTTAGGGAATTGGGAGGGGTCTGGAGTATTTGACCATAGGGGACATTGTCCACACATCCCCACAGACCATGTACATGCCATACTTTAGGCTTGCTGTCTGGGGTGGGGCTGCCCACCTTTGGGACCAAACAGGTAGCCGTAGCAGGGGATGTGGCAGTATGGGACGCCATCATGCTAGAACACAGAGAGAAGGATTACCCTCTCAGCCTGGCTGTCTTCAAGCTCCAGCCTCCATCCTCCCAAAACCACCCATTCCTGTCCTACTCACCTCAGCATGACTCCCAGCAGTCAGGGTCTTCCGGCAACGCTGGCACCTTAAACAGGGTCGGTGCCAGTTTCTGCCCAAAGACATCACCTTCTCAGCTGGTAGTGGAGAGAAGAGGTAGTTCTTCCATTCTAGGGGAAGGGCAGGGAGACCCACCTGCCTTCGACCACCTCCCTGCCCACTTGCTTCCCAACCTAGTGTTTTCCTCCCCCAACTTTCCATTGTCACTTACCAAAATAGACTGGCTCCCCACAGCCGGGGCACTGTGAGGTCTCCCCAGTGAATGTCTTCATGTGGGGTGGGCCTTTAATGGGAAGAGGCCCTAGCTAGGGCTGTAGTTTGGGCCAGACCCTAAGCAGGGCCCACCAGAACCTGCCTGCACATGCCATTGTCATTTTCTAAAACCCATACTCACCCCAGAGCCCCCACCCAGGCACTGTGAGTCTTCCTTCCTTGAACTGACCCATATTCTGCCCCATCTCTAATTGCATTAGGGAACACCTGCTGCTTCCTTTTTTTTTTTTTTTTTTTGCACTGGGAATTGAATCCAGAGGTACTTTAGTATATTCCTAGGCTTTTTTAAATTTTTGAGACAGGGTCTCACTAAGTGGCCTTGAACTTTCAATCCTTCTGCCTCAGCTTCCCAAGTTGCTGGGACTACTACTATGTCACTGTGTTCATTATTCCTTGTCATTCGTGCAAGGGCTCAGGTGCCCACCAGCCCAACCTGTCAGCAACTCAATCCTCAGGAAACCTGAGCTGATACAGGAATTGGCTGGGGCAGGAGTGTCAGGTGTTGGGGAGCATGGTGTCATTGCTCCATGCAATGGAGTGGGAGGAAGGAACAGGGGCCAGAGGAGAGAAGTTGAAGTATCTGAGGAAATGACTCTATCCTCATGACCCCTCAACTTGTCTTTTCTTCCATGGTCCTGGCCTAGGAAAGAGGCCTGAGTTCCAGGCCATCTTTGGCTCTCTCAATAGCTATGTGTTTACACAAGGTCCTTTGTCCTCTCTATCCCTTAGTTGCTTCACATGTAAAGTGCTAATACTATCTGCCCGATTTACTTCTTAAGCTCAGAAGCTGACATGAGGGAATATCTAAAAAGGGGCATGGGTAGAGATTTTTCCAAGGACAGAGTTGTAGGAATATAAAGCAGAGGGCTGGGTAGAAGACTGCCCCTGAAACTCAACTTTTACTGCATCCTGAGGGTCAGGAGGAAGAGCAGGAATAGCTGAAGCCCAGCCTCACTTACTTTTTTTGCCATGGAGGAGGCCAGTCCTTGGCCTGGGGGGGCTGAAGCTGCTGGGGCTGAGGGAAGTGATGTTGGCAGGGGAGGGAGTGGGAGGATTGTAGAGATAGGAGCCCACACCACCAATGTTCACCCCTGCAGAGAGGAGGAATAGGGAAGATCAGGGCTTGGTTCCCAGCCACAAGGAATGTTCTGTTTCCCTAGCCCCTTTTAGGCTCTTTCTTACCTCTGGGTCCAAAGAGAGCCCCATAGCATGGTTTATGGCAGTATGGTCTCCCGTTGTGCTGGGCACAGAGGGAAGGAGTCACTCAGGGTCAAGGGGGTCGTGCCCCACAGGCCTGCTGCAAGATAAGCTGCCAGGTGTGTTTGTCCACTGGCTGGATCTGGTGGGTCTTGGAGGGGTAGGTGCTGGGCTGGCAGGCCAGAATTGCCATTGTGGTCCAGAGGGAGGCAAAAGCAGGCAATAACCCATCCCCTTAAAGCCACGGAGTCATGGCACAACTGAGGCTCCCCAAATCCTGGCTGGTATGAGATGTCTCGGATGAGTAGCCCTGAGATTGCCTGTTGAAGTAGACTTTGGCAGGGTAACAGACTGAAAGTGGGGGCTGGGGTGGGATTAAGTGGGTTGGTGGGTGAAAGAACTGTGTGCCCTGGCCCTGGCCTCACCTCTGCATGGCCACCAGGAGACAGAACAGTGTGGCAGCGCTCACATTTCAGGCAGAAGCGGTGCCAATTCTTGCCCAGGGAGCTCACTTTTTCAGCTGTGGGGGACAAGGTGGAACTAACTGCAAAGAGCCAGGCCAAGCACCAGATGCCACCAAACCCCCAACCCCAGCCTGACCTGCTCCTTAGAGACTATGGAGTGTCTCTGGGAGTCCAGCTCCACCCTGCCCCAGCATCATGCATCCCACACAGCTCTYAGAGGGGAGGAGAGGGAAGGGGATCTCACACACAACAGGTTTAAGGGTATCTGGAACCATACCATGGCCAGCCCTCACATCCCCAGGGAACCCAGTGGCTCACATTCACCCCATCCTTTCCCCTCCTCAGCCCAAGCCTCACCAGCCTCACCAAAGTAAACAGGTTGCTGGCAACGTGGGCAGGTCCAGCTCATGGCTCAGCTTGCTTGGGGAAGCAGACTTCTCACACTAGACACCACTGCAGGGCTCTGTTCTACTGGCTCCACCCACTGCTCAGCTTTGAACCCACTGAGCTGTCTGGGTGTTCATTTGACACCAGAAATTTAGAACCATTCCACCTGGGGGATGTAGGCAATTTCTCAGTCACTTCAAAGAGCATTAAAACCTCCAACCTATGAACCTTAGTGGGCACCAGACTGGGAGGGCAGGGGGGCAATGAAGATGCCTAGATGAATGGCTCTAGTTTCCCAGGTCAGTAAGGAGAGGACAAATGTCTACAGTGCAGATGGCATGAAAACATCTCAAAGTGAAAGGTAGGCATTCTTTGAAGTGATGTAATTACCCTTTGGTAGTCTAGCAAGTGGTTTATTTATTTTGCTTCACTTTTTGTGGTACTGGGGATGAACCCAGGGTTTGGCACGTGCTAGGCAGGCTCTCTACCACTGATCTACATCCCCAGCCCTAGCAAGTAGTTAAGAGTAACAGAATCTGAAGACTATCTGTGCTACTTAACCTACGGCTTCAGGCAAATTATTTACCCTCCCTCTGCCTCCATTTTCTTATCTGTACAATGAGTATCATGATAACAGTTTCTACCTCATAGGACTGTTATGAGAATTAGATGAGTTAATATTTGTGGAATGCCCAAACAGCTTCTGGCACTTAAATATTATGAAAGCAATAGCTATTACTATGATGAATTCCTTAATGAACTCAAGACTTTTAGTCTGGAAGCCTCAAAACACAGTTTGTATATAATCAATGGCTTGTTCATAAAATTATAATGCTTATTAAATTTAAAAGTATAAGGAGGGAGTTGTGACTCAGTGGTAGAGCACTTGCCTAGCATGCGTGAGGCACTGGGTTCAATCAGCTTAAAAAACTGTAGTTCAGTGGTAGTGTCCCTGGATTCAATCCTCAGTACAAAAAAAATTCATATTTATACACATACATATATATTTATACACATACATATATATACACACATATATACATATACACATATATGTATGTACATATGTGTGTGTGTGTGTATATATATATATATATATATATATATATATATATATAACATTTGTGTTATACAGATATATATAAACAAGGACATGGAAAAATTGGATCCCTCATACATTGCTGGTGACAATGTAAAATGGTTCAACCACTTTAGAAAACAGTCTGGCAGCTACTCAAAAAGTCAAACATAGGGTTTGCCATATCACTTTGTACTTCTATTCTTAGGTTTATACCCAAGAGAAATGAAAACATGTCTACACAATAACTCCTATATGAGTGTCCATTGCAGCACTATTCAGTGACAAAAAGGTAGAAACAACCCAAAACCCATC